TAGTTACCTCAATCCCCCTTGCACCATGTCCAAAGTCAACATTGAATCCCTCTTTAAATTTTTCCAAAGTATGTCTCCGAGATAATAAAACTGTTCTAAACTGTTTTCGAGAAGCATGTGCCAAATGGGGAGTCCCAAGCCGAACTCGAAGCGACTATGGAATGGAGAATATACAAGTGGCCGACTTTATGATCAACTATAGAGGCACTGACCGTGGCAGCCATCTCTGTGGAACTTCTGTACATAATCAACGGATTGAGCGATTATGGCGTGACCTCAACAGAACGCTAATTAGATTCTTTCGTTTGATATTTATTCACCTTGAAGAAGAATATGGCTTTGATATAGACGATACCGTTCATTTGTACTGTCTGCATTACGTATATATGGCGCGGATAAATAGAGCTTTTAGGACGTTCACAGAAACCTGGAACAATCATTCCATTCGAACAGAGCACAATCGAACGCCGTTACAATTGTGGCAAGTTGGAATGATAACAAATGGCTATGAAGCGTATGACGAATATAATGGAGTTGATGACAATTATAGAGTTGAAGAAACTCGTGATAGCAATGAACAAGATGATAATGAAAACAGCGGCGATATTATAGTTGACGAGAATTTTGGAAATTTATTAACTAGGAATGAATACGATGTCCTCAGAGATCAGTTTAATCCAACCGATGAGGATGAAAATTCTGGTATCAATATATTCTTAGGCGCCGTTGTACTCGTCCGACAATTACTTCAAAATAGGTCTGACGACTATCAAGCATAAATTTGTTTTAGACGACAGTCGAGCTTGCCATATTTAATTTTCCCAATCAGTTATTGATAAACAAAAATGTACAGCGTATAGCAAACTAGAGAATAAATCCCCTTGTCTATATTAGATCAACGATCCCGTATTATCAACTGATTGACGAGTGGTTGTTGTACATAATTCTTTGACGCTAATGACGTAATTGTTTGACGCTATTTTCTGAATTTAAATTCAGACTTTTGTCCACTCTGGCGTGCCATACGCACCCGTCGGGGATAATCTACAGACATCACAGTATTGTATTAAAAAGCATTACTAGAAAGAAATTTGTCACAGCAGCAGAATTATTAAAGGTCCATTAAACTTTCTTACCATTCATTTACGCATCCAATGTACCAGATCTGTTTAATTCATCATTTATATTTCTGCACAATCTGTCCGTTTGTATTAGATAAATCGAGGTTTAATCGAATGCCTGAGAGATGTGAAGAAATGAGAAAGGTTTGAAGGTGGAGCTTGATGTACGTATGATATGACGTACCCTCTTTACTGGCGATTGCTATCGAAAGCCAACATACATTCTATGATTTCGAACTACACTTGGTTTCTTGCTATACTGCTTAATTAGATATATTATTAACCCAAGAGTCTTCTGCCAATTCATTATCAGAAATGACGTTCAGAGTTCCAAACCCACTATTTCCTGTAAAGGCCGGAAATATGTTTCATATAATGATACATTGTTAATCTAAATATAGTTCCTATTTGGAAGCTTACTACAGTGTAGCAACTCAATCTTTGATGCAGTAAACTATTTGTCAGCGGTATATTATTATAATTGAATACTGAATATCGTAACAAGTGTAAATATTACTATGCAAAATTTTATTCGACTTCCATAAATATAAAACAAAGTAAATAATTAAGAGATAGAGGTATTCCCATAGCATAGAATACATCCGTATTACAGTTAGGTTTACTTGCACGATGTTGTATGTCAGATCGGATACAGAGAATTAGTAAACATACTTTGATACTTAAATATTCGCACTATAAATTGCATGTGACCAGATATTATATTCGCTTGAATGTTGATTCGAAACGTCCTCGAATCATATCCATACGACTTTTGGGACTCACAATTAAAAGTATCAGTAACTAAATAAATCAGTTATAAATTACGTAGAGAATTTAGTTAATTGGAAACTGATCTATAAGCTGTAATCGAGATATTTAAATAATGAAATTAATTCTAATAGGTTAGCCGACCATTCGAGAAAATAATTTCCGCCGATGACAGATTCATGGCATTTGACTTTATTGTTTGGAAAATAATTGCTTACATTGTACCTTACGCGTTGTCAAAACTAAAAGTACGCGCAAACTTCCGAGATTCTACTCGTGAATATAAACTATACGTTGAGTTCACAACTCCGATTTCATATCTCTTAGAGAGAAGCATTGTATATTAAATAAGTCCCTAAGTTAGGACCAAGTTGTAATTGTAAACAAGAAATACAATAGTATTTCTGATGTAATTGATGTGGTGATTTTCGAGTCAACTCAGAAATATCGAAATTATCGAAGTATGAAGAGACGCATTCTTAGTTGTCATTCTTCTGAATGCAACAAAAGCCGGCAGTGTATAGAATCTTGGTTTTTTAATAAAGATGTCGTATCTGTGTTCTTATCAATAAGTTTTCTCTTTTAACTCATTGAGTATTAAGATGGTTACACTAATATAATAATAACGCCAATCTCTGCAAAAACGTTTCTACACGACTTTATTGTTTAATGTGGAAATTGGTACGCTTCTTGTTTAAGTTAGGTACGGAGTGATAATTGTGTATTATATGTCGCTTCACGTTATTCCGTTATCTGAGTCTATAATATTTCAACCCAACCTAAGACGGCCCGCAACGTCTTGTCTTGTAGATAATTAAACCTTTTAGAATTGATGCGCCATCTTCTTGAGTTGGTAGACCCTCTCGGGCATCAATTGTGATACGCCTCGTAAATCTCTACATTCCTACTTTAGTAAAAGACAAGCAATTAAATTTTGTAGATTAGTATGCGCCGAGCAATTTTCAAATGCCGAGTCTATTTGGTGTTTTGCTCACCAATTGCAGCATGCTCTAAACTAGTCGAAATCGTTGTCGTCTATCGAGGTGACTCGTGTTTATTGCAAAGGCGATGCCGATAAGATAGCTGACCGTATTAATCAAACATGCAACGAGACCGGTTGCAGCTAACGACTTGGCATAATCGTCTACCGCTTTCCAGGTCACAACGCAAGAAATCCAAAACCAGATTCCAAAACACAAACTAAAACCCGCATATAACGAGCCTTGAAGAAACAATTCGGGATCGATCCAAATGCCCCACCGATCTACAACCGCATCAAACGTAAACGGAACAGAGTCAGGCCATAATGAATTGACCAAGAGGAGATAATGTTCTTTTCCTGTATTATAAATATGAATACGATATAACAGATTTGACCAAATTTGACTGTATTATATTGCTGACAATACTGTTACCTAAGAATATCCCTAGCCAGTGGGTCATTGTATAAGTTGCAGAAGATTTTTTGGCTGTAATATAAACGGCCCACAGACGAAACACGGATTCCATTATACACCAAGTAATTAGAGCCATACGCTTTCTTTTGTAATTGTTGGCATACTGTCGATGGAAATTATGAAAGTGTGTTAGAACATCAACCTTGACATTGACGATTGTCAATAATACATTTGGGTAGCGTACACTTACCATTATTAGTGAAATCAATATTATTATTCCAGCTGACATTAATATGGCATTGACAATAAGAGCCAAATAAACACTAATGAAGGCACATGGTGAGACATGAACTGAATCACTACTATAAATACTGTCTGCTTCTCCTGTTTCTGTAGTAACAATAGCATTCTCTGTTGTGTATGCTCGTAAAGGAGCATTATTCTCATTTGATTCTGCAGATAAATAGCAGAGATTAATTTCTTCAGCCGTTGGCGGAGTGAGTGAGGGTCCATATTCAGTAAGTGGTGTTGTGGGGCGTGCTTGGGAGTTCGACATGTTAAGTAAGAGAAAGAAACCCGTAGGATATTTTGATGGATTCTGCTATTGATAATCAGCTCTTGGCATTGCTAAAATTGTTCCTACGGATCCCGTTTAGTAGTAACAATTGCGCAATACGCAGTATAATTGTCAACGAGCGGATATATTGGCTTTTCGACACATTTACCAAGTCATCATAAAATACGAAAGACAAAGCATTTCGACAATTTTGCGAACAGGCCTTTCTGTTATGGTAAGCTCAGTTTCTATGTCCCCGTAAAATAATGGGTGATTCTGGTATATATAGAATGTGTGCAAACGGTGAACCCTCCGATATAGATTGGTAGATTTGGTTAACACTACTTTATTGGTTGCCACGTGACCAATAGCATAATTTAATGATTTGTTGCTTCATTACGCTCAATCCTTCAGACGTCTGTTGCAGAAATCTCTATACTGTTTCCTAATTAATATAAGGTACATTTCCATCGCTATCGCCTGTGCATCTTACTAACTTACTTTGGTTTTTCTCTGATGCTTATTTGTTCAGCAAACCGTTCTTTACCTAATTTAATTTTCGCATTAACGTTAACCTTCAAATACCCATTTATCGTAATTTTCTATGTAGATCTTTGCGGGGGACTTTTCCATGAGCCCCAGGGCGAGGGCATATTGTAGCCGAAAACTCTTTACCATCTCATTTGTAAATCATATTTTTTTTCCCCCAGATGTCGTCATGACTAAACTTATTTATACACACTCTTCGTCATGCCAATTAAGTCGACCATTAATTGAAAAACTAGAGTTTAATTAACATGCCCACGTGGTGTTATGCTGAATTAAAATCTAGGCAAACATGTTTAAAATCAATCATACTAATGCGATATTTGGTATTTTTTGTGCAACAATAAATAATCACGATCACTACTACATGGCCGCTTAAATTAAAAAAAAAATAAAAAAATAAAATTCATGTAAAATTGCAAAAAAAAAAGTTTGGTTTTTTTTTTCGCATTAAAATTATTTCTCATCGTTGACATATTTACCGTTGATTTTCTTCAAATGAATGAATTTGTTCTCCACTATGTTAGCGAGTCGCTATCACTATCCATTAATGCAATCATTCCACATCTCCTTTGTCTTCCCCTCCCGGGATACCATTTCCTTACAATGCATTAAGCCACTGTGCACCATCTTCTGGAATTCTCTGCTTGGACAAACAAGCGTAAATATACAACGGAACGTGACTTTATAGGATAATTTGCAAACCACTACACAGTTTACAACCTCCAACAGAGACTATTTAAAAACTTGTAAGTCAAAAATAGGGTTTATTGATATATTCTCTTGTGGATTATTATCCAAATCTTTAATCTATTGTTCATCATTAGGTAAATTAGATTCTCAGGTACTCAGATTTGCAGATTTTGTCACTTTTGTACCTGAGGTACACCGTAAAACTATTCTCAGGGGTTGGTATTCCTGAGTTAGCTATTTGAGTAAACAATATAATCATTACAATGATTAATGCATACTTAATTCTACATGTGAAATAATTACCTCACCTATCTGCTCGATATTTTATTTAATTTTGGTTTATATCCTCCAATGCCATTCATCTAACAAGACATCTTGTATACAGCTCTTCCTCTGCGGCTTCTGAACAAAGAAGTCGCCTACATAATGATAAACCATTATTCCTCACAACATATAAAACGCCATAAGGTTGCGCGCATACATTCTCCGGGAGCTGACTCCACACATTCGACAAAAACATGTTGAAGCTGTCGACCAGCCTTCCAAAAATCAATCCCCTCGAAGGCAAAGCCAGTCAGTAAAAAGGGAGCTACGCTCTTCAAAAAATTTCCGACTTGGCATCAATCTTCCATCACATAGATCAAAATATTATTAGTTTAACTAAAATACACATCATTTCTACACATGTTCCCATATCCTTTATTCTTCACTACTATATAAATTTTATAACTAATTGCATCTGTTTTAATCTATGAATAAACAAATTATGTTATATAGCATCCTCCTTCATCTAAACATCGTATTATCACTGTTCATATCCCAACAAATGATATCTTATAGCATAATAAAGCATTAATTGCACTAGTTACATGTCTCTACATCAATACTGATACAAGAGGGGCAGCCCCCCAAAATTTATATTCTAGTGTTATTACTTCAAAAAAGGGAAATTATGGTTTTGTCAGGGCAACAAAATACTGCGGTACATTCGTTTCTTGGTATGCATGACAGTATATGTATAAACGTGGTCATCAGAAAGGTAATACAATCAGTGAACTACTGTCTAGTCACACCATTGGCACAATACAAAGAGACAGAGTAAATTCCTTATTATGTTCTATTATGAAACTGGTACTAGAGAGAATGTAGGAAAGTGTGACTACAGACAGAGTTTTCATATAGTGTGACTATAATAATAAACGAAGGGACTATAGACAGTAGTTCACAGTAGAAGTTTAGTGGAATATTAAGATGCTCGCAAACGGCGAATGAAAATATGTCATTGACATATCAGGTTAAGGACGTGAATCAAGTGATAAAGGCGAAAATTTATTATTCGGTAACGAATAAAGATTTATTCTTAGTATTAACCCCGCCAATTATTTAACTTGTTATTATTATGCAAAAAATTTCTTGCTCTTTAAACAAGATCATAAACGAATAAACAAAATAATAGAAACAACCACAATACAAACATGTTAATATAAAAACCATTCATTTAATTTACGAATTATCTATAACCTTAACTATCAGTAGTAGTGTTAACAACGTCATCGCTTTTTAGTTAGCTTGGTCGTGTATGATGTTATCTACGTTCACAACGTATTCCTTTAAAAACAATTCTAACGCAAGCTGTTTCTGTTCTATTGCTGCAACTTTCTCGTCAATCAAAAGATCTTTTGATAACACAGAGCCTGTAAATGGGATATTGGGACTTAGACTGTTGTGAAGGGCGGACCTAGCTTTGCGGCGGATGTGCGGCAAATTCTGGACCAAACCCCACGGTCTTATTCCATCTGTGCCTGTAAAGAAAAAACAATTATAGTACGTGACAATATACTCGAGAGAAAGAAGATAGAAATCAGTTCACATACCGTACAAAAATCTGTAAATAACTAATGCAGCAGCGTATATACCACCCACATTACTAATGGCATCCATTATTGTCAGATTGCTAGTTGTTAAGAAGCAACATACAAGTGTTCAGTAACTTAGTAATGCTTTCGTTTTATTTAAGCCATGAATACTTACGAGATTTCGGTTTCCGTTCTGGTGACAAAAGATTTGGGGTTTATTTCTATATACGAATAATTTCCGTTGCCGGGGTATGATACTGAAAGCAAAAATGTTCGATTTATATGTAGTTTCTCCACTCTGATAAAGCGGAATTAATGGTAATGTTAATCTACCTACCAAGAAAGCCGTCTATCATTGCCAAACGCGTATGTTGGCCGTCTCCAGAAAGTATGTTTACAGCATCTTGATTAAGACGATTGGCTATTTTGCGTTCGTAAAAAAAGGCGTACGACTAATTATGTGGAGTTGTTATTATTAGCATATTGTGTGTTGCATATACTGCATATAGGAAGATAATGTTCATTTTATCGATTTGACATGTAGACTTTGTTTACCTGGTTATTGGCGAGACGGAAGTAGTTATCAGCTGATATCGTAGCCGCATAATCGCTAGATCCTTTCAAGCGTTCATCGTCAGATAATTCCATTAGCATACCAAGTTTTGTTTCTAAGAATGACCTTTTCATCAGAATCGTTCTTGTTGGCACAGAATAACGGTTTCACTCATGTAAATACAATAATTGTAACCTTTATCGGTAAACCACACTATCATGCCAGCATCTTCGCCGCTAATAAAAGTTGTATCCACTATATTAACCGTCAAGCTGAAGACGTAAATAGTGTTTTCATCAACGATATAATTGTAGTCATCAGCAAAGTTCAAGTTGGATGTATTAACTATTGTATATGGTACTACGTGTATATCATCGCCAATTTGCTCGACATATTCGTTACAACTTGCTAAATTATCAAATTGATGTACACACCGTGGACGTATTAATAATGTTTAACTAACAAATAGAACAAGTTGTTATCGTTATGTTATACATACAGACATTATTAGAATACGTTACCATACAATCGACAGTAAAGTTAAAGTCAGCGCAAAAATAGACAACTGAAAGAGAGAATAACCATCAATATTAAATTCAAGAATGGGGTTTAAATATTAGTAGAGGCGTTATACTTACTCGGAGTAGGAATTGAGGGATTATAGTCATCCCGAAAAACTAATGTTCTCTCATCTTGGTGCAGTTCATATAGTTGAAAGCCAAAAAAAACTGCCACGCAAATGTAGCCAATCAATAAAGATAGTGGTCTCAACGTTCTGATAACAGTCAGCTCAGAATTACGTGAAGGGATTTGTCTGGCATAAAATTCTTTTATTGCGTTCATTATAGTGAAATGAAAACGGGGAACGTAATTTGAATTGAAACCAGTGAATTTGTAAACCCAAAGTTAGTCCTTCCCTTTTATATGCTCTTTTGTTATGCAAGGGGCAGCGTAAAAAATACGAATATTTGTGACTTTGATTTATGACATCATCAAACTTGTCGATCTTCTATGTAAACGTTTAGTTTACAATTACGCGTTGCGTGTAACAGGTTTTGGGTTTCTCGCATCTTTCTATTATTAATCAGCAAACATTTGAGTAACATTTTCCAGATCAAATGCTTGCCGATTCGATAATGATAACCATTGTCAAACTTAACAAAAATGGCAAGCGGCTGTGGCTGTAACTAAAATAAACAAAGCGGCCAAGTGATAAGGGTGATAACATGTCCGTGTTGATGGTGACGTAGTTTTGTTAGCCATTTTTGTTTATGTGTCCGAATGCAACATTTTTATGCAAGTGCTTAATAAAGGACACACGAAATTAAATGATTGGGCAGAAATGCTCATAAAAACAACAAATCTCTTATCAAAATCTTTGCATTGACACATATCGACACTATTGCGAGAGATTAAATACCTGTTCTATTCTACTGTTTAAACAATAAAGTAAATAGAAATTATCTCTTTCTACTGCAATTATCATATTGTTAGTTTCACGTTTGTGAGCTGATCATCGGATGATCCAATTTGGTACATTCCGCGATGAGCACGCATTAGTAGATCAAGCATCTTCAAAAGGTACAAAAAAGCGTTTGTTGCTTACACAAACATATACGGATAGTCGATAAACAAAGTTCATTCTCTAATCAAAAAAGTCCGATTGTTTGGTTATCAATTACTTAATAATTTATCAGCCACGCCGTTAAAAAAAATAGTATGACTGTCATGGCGAATAAAAAGACTCGAGTACATGTACAATTGAGTAATAAATATTAATTTTTGATTGCATCACAGCTATTTCTGTCAGCATACCATGTAATCTTACTAAAATGTATATTAACCTGTGATATAATTACTAATGCTAAGGAGCATCATACTGTATCGACTTACTAATACATAAATCCCATAATGTTCATTCCGCCGACAATGAGAACAAAATTCAATATTCTGTTTTAAAAATACTATAACGCCTAAACAGTTTCTACATCGAGCTTAGCTCGCTCGCAAAGGTGTAATTGTTAGATAATACTCGTTGATGTGGTGCACATGTCTAATTGCTTTTGATTTGTTAAGTTGTTCTTTTTCTCTAATCAATTTTCTTTACAAGCTTAGAGAGCGATTTTATAGCGTAGCGGAACACTTTTCGATCATATTTTTCTCATGACGCAAAAACGCAAGCGAGTTAGTCTTAGTACTGTAATAGTATGTCATCATAGGAATGCAAAAATGACGTACGCTCTTTCGTTTTTTTCGCTATAGAATTAGCTTCGAGCATATATATTAATTAATAAAGTAAACTAAGGAGTGCATGTTTACAACCGATCATGTATACACGCACACCCCATATCATATGAAAAAATAGATCTCTCTCATAAATTATAGCGCTAATCGTTAATCGATATCTATATTCAAATTTATTGGACTACGGGAGTCAGAATTGGTTCTCGGCATGACTTGAAAAATAACACTAAATGATTTCTAACTCTTATTTGATAAATGAAATCCAACCGTCCGTATTGTTAACTAACCTGCTTGGTATGTATGAATTTAATGCATAACGAAACCTTGTTAGACCTTCGTCGTGTCGTTAACTTATTGCAAGCGATTCAATACTGACAACAATCAGTTCGAATAAGAGAATAATAAATGCAATTCCGCTCTGAAGCGACTATCGATGAAGGAGCTTAATGTTTATAAACGTAGCGATAGGAAGCTATAATGAAATAAAGCTTTATACAGACGTATTAGTTAGATGGAACAATAATTGTTCGTTGAGAAGGATTGTGTTTAAGAATAAAGTAAAAGCGTTCGTAATTGAGTACGTTTGCTAAGAATAAGAGTTAAGGATGTTATGTTAATATTATTATTTGTATCAAAACGGAGCGAATCTTTCCATCTGTTCGAAACGATGCGATGGTGTGTGTGTTAAGTGAAAGAAAGATATTATTATCTCTAGTGTAAAGGAGAACCGTTGTTAATAGTCATGGTTGGATAGCTATAACGGATAATATATGGTTTCTCACTTAACAAAGAAGTACATCATTACTATATGACATTACGTGCGTTCATCGATAATTTAACGACATTCCAAAAACTATTACTGCGCCTCTTGCACTATGTATTAGTATCTTTTGTCTCATCGAATTTTTTATTAATTAGATCTTATCGACACACTATACATTATTGTCTATGATAAGTATAAACATCGTTTTTAATTAAATATCATAAATTACCAGTTCAAAAATTTGAGTCACTAAATTAACCAATTGTTATCTTCATATCTATTTCTAACTTGGCAAATTTGATATGAGGTAACTGGTGGGAGCAAACAAAGTAGTAGCTGTCTCTCGGTTTAGGTTGGTAAGAGCTGACTAGAATATTTACTCTCCTTCTCAAAACGTGATAAGGGTCTTGCATCATTATGGTAGATATCATTCCATACATCGTTGTCGCCAAAACCATTCTCAAAGTCCACCTTTTTAGCAATCTCGCTCAATGTTTGCAAAAGTTCTCCTGCATGTGGACGCTTGTCAGGATCAGCATCACAACAACGCTGAGCAATTTGCTTGTATTCTTCTGGTGCTGAATCAGGCATCGGCGGTCGCAGTCCACCCAAAATATCGCATACTAAATCACTACTGAACTGTCTATCTCGAAAAGGTGGTTCGCCGGTGGCAATCATATACGTGATAATTCCAAAAGAATATATGTCCGATTTCTGAGTAAATTTGCGAGTATGGAAGACTTCTGGTGCGGTAAAGGGTAAAACACCTTGAATCGTTGATTTCGGCTTGTGTGAATTCACCGATCGTGAGAGGCCAAGATCGCATATGAATGTTTGGAGTCCATACCCATCATCATGCAAAACTATGTTTCCACCATGAATATTACAATGTACAATTCCTATAAGATGGATCCCTTGCAGGTAATCTGCAGTATGTTTCAAACACTGTAATTTCATCCTCCACGTCATTGTGTTTATGTTTTGATCCAAATAAGACAAAAGGTTACCCTTATTAGCATATTGCATAACAATTATGTACCCTTTTGTCATTGGGTCTTGCGTTACTCCATAAATTCTAAGGAAATAATCATACAAACACTTGGTATGATTTCTAAACTAGTGAATAAAAACAAAGTCAGATTGAAAATATCACTTTAATTAATAATATCAAAGAATACTGACCTCGTTAATAAATAATTCCGGCGTCTGATCAAAACACTTGAAACGTTTGAGAACAATAGTTTCTGGTGCAAAAAGAAATTCTTGACGTAGTCTATCATCAAACTTGGCAGTATAGATTGTGCTATAACCACCAGATCCAATCTCTGTAATTTCACCAAAGTCGGCATACTGCATATACTTTACATTATCATTGGTTCGTATAAATTTGTCCAATAGTGAACGCATGTCATAGTAGAACACTAGATAATATTGTCCAGTAGATGGATTTTGAGTAATACCAATAATCCAAACATTATCTGTAGTTAATATCTCTGGATAATCTTCTGTTAGCTATTTGAGGGAGGAAACAAACACGTCCGTTACAATTATATCGATATAACGCACGAAACACTATTTGCATTGTTACATATAAAAAATTTACCTGGTAAAAATCAAATGACTGAGCATCCTGTCCATCAACTATCTTTTTGAGTATCACTCTCGTCGATAATCTAATCGTTGTTGTCGGTTCTCGCCAATCTGCTATATGTGTGCAACCATGGCGTAGTGAAGTCATCTCTTGTACATTTGTCAATGAAGAGTATTCTATCCATTGTATGTAGGCATCATCTTTATTCTCTGTATTCTCCCATGATTCCATAATAAACAAATCCAAAGACTTGTTGCCAGTAGTCCAATTAAGAGGTTGTGGTGCCTTACATTCCAAACAGAACGCATTTATATCAGGTTCTAACTGAGATGTACATGCCAGACATAATTCATACCAATCATATGCCTTCATTAGATAATACTTCTGTTTACTTTCATCATATGTAAACCCGATGGTAACCCAAACATCATTGCTAAGAATATCTGGATGGTAATCACATAGCTAGTGGAAATGATACATTGTATCAAGTTAATCTTTGTCCAAACGTTCAATATATGCATAAAATTAAAAATAATTAAATAGTTACCTGATCATAATTATCTGTCTCATCTTCAAGCAAAATCAATAAAACAGCTGCAGCAACAGGTGGACCATATAATCCCTTGCTCCTGTCATCAATACACTCAAATGGAATCCATTCCAAATAGGCATCATTTGCTGAGTTTGTTTGTAATTGAGTTTTCTTAATAAGCTCGTCGAGTTGCTTATCGTTGCTAGTCCATCCATTGGATAATTCTTTATGTTCACATATGCACCACACAGGACTACATCGGAGTATTCCGCATACGGAGCAGAATCCATATCGAGAGTAAAAATGGCAAAAGCGTTTATCAGCAACCATGTAATAGTTACCATCATTCTCGGTAAAACCCTTTATAAGTCTGTTGCGCCATGTAAGCCATTCGGAATATCTTCTGAACTGATTAACGTCATAGTTGTACTTGTGTGTCGGAAGTGAGTATATTCTAGCAAACTCACTCACAAGTATTGGTGTACATTCTTCGCTGTTTCCAAGGCAAAGCAGCATTGTCATCGTCTCATCATTAATAGCGTAATAGCCTTTGTCCAGACTTGACTCTACGTCGGTGGTAATTTGCGAGTACGAAATCCATTCAAGTTTATGTTCACTTCCTAAGGATGATTGAATCAAGTCGTTAATTGTTTGAAAATCCTCAACTAACGACATAGTTTTGGAATAAAAAAGGGTTTCAACAATTTCCGAAG